TTGCGCTGCTGCTCCTGTGGTCACTGCCAAGCCCCAGGCAGCCAGCCTTGGCTGCACAGGCTAGAACAAATCCTAGTCCCTCTTGGCTGTAGCTAGCTTGGCTTAGGAGAGGTTCTACCAGCAACCACATAATGCAAAAAGGCCAGTCCTAGCCTGCCAATAGCCTCCCAGGACGGATACAATTTTTGCTCTTCCTTCCCAAAGCGCAGCCAAGGGCAGGCTGCAGACAAGGGGGAGAAGTCAAAGTCAACCGCAGTGTCTGCAAACAGCCAACAATGTTTCAGGCTGGGTTTAAGTGGAAAAAGAAAAAAAATCTTGCTAAATCCCAACTGTTACAAGGTTTTCATTATGTTCCTTAGTTATGGGTCAATATTGGATTAGGTGTAAATTCTTTGTTCTTAGAGCTTTCCACATCCTTAGAACAGTTTTTTTTTTTTTTCAAATTAAATTCACGAAACTTAAAATTCAGTTAATATTTTGTATGCAATGTGGTGGATAATGTTATTATGCTTCAATTACATTTCCCTTGAGAATATGAATCCCATTGATGTGGGATGGGCATTTCAATTTGACATTCTTATAACTGATTTAATTATCTCAATATTTTCCTCTATTTGAACTTCCGCTAAACCTTTTTTTAATTAATTTATTTGAATGGCAGAGTGACATTGGTGGGGGCGGGGCACGGGTATACACACACACACACAAACACACACAGAATGAGGGGGAGAGAGAGAGAGAGAGAGAGAGAGAGAGAGTCTTCCATCCACTGATTAATTCCCCAATGGCCCCAATGGCGAAGGTTGGACAAGATGGCAGCCAGGAGCCAGGAGCTCCATCCTGATCTCCCACATGTGTGGCAGCAGCCCTGTTACTTGGGCCACCTTCGTAGGCTCATGGGAAGTGGAGCAGCTGGGACTCAAACCAACGCTCTGATTTGGGATGCTGGTGACGCAAGTGGCAGCTTACAGTTGCACTACAACACGGGCCCTTCTGTTAAATTTGTATACAGTGTGCTGTAAGGCCACTCGACCTTCCTGTACATAGAATGCTGTCATTTCCACAAGAAGTACTCTGCCCTTTTCCCTTTAGCCCAAGAAAATTAGTTACAGTTGGTGCTAATACAAAATTGAGTATAAGGCGGCTGTCCCAGGATCTAGAACAGGCGAGTGAACAATTGAATTTTTAAAGAGTATAATGTACATGAGAGCAAAATTTTACATAATTCCGTAGAGAATTTGCAAATATATATTCCGAGACTTCAGTTGAAGGAAGAGTGTTATATGATTAGTGGGATATTCCAAGGTGGTCCAGGGATCAGAGAATTTGTTAGAAATGCAGGATCTTGGCCGGCGCCGCGGCTCAGTAGGCTAATCCTCCGCCTAGCGGCGCCGGCACACCGGGTTCTAGTCCCGGTCGGGGCGCCGGATTCTGTCCCGGTTGCCCCACTTCCAGGCCAGCCCTCTGCTGTGGCCCGGGAGTGCAGTGGAGGATGGCCCAGGTGCTTGGGCCCTGCACCCCATGGGAGACCAGGAAAAGCACCTGGCTCCTGGCTCCTGCCATCGGATCAGCGCGGTGCGCCGGCCGCAGCGCGCTGGCCGCGGCGGCCATTGGAGGGTGAACCAACGGCAAAGGAAGACCTTTCTCTCTGTCTCTCTCTCTCACTGTCCACTCTGCCTGTCAAAAAAAAAAAAAAAAAAAAAAAAAAAAAAAAAAAAAAAAAAGAAATGCAGGATCTTAGGCCCCACTCCAGACCTAATGGATTAGAACCTACATATTTTTTCATTTTGTTTTTAATTTGAGAGGCAGAGAGAGAGAGAGAGAGAGAGTGCTCCCACCTACTGGTTCATTCCTCAAAAGCTTACAATGGCTAGGCATGGGCTGGGCTGAAGCCAGGAACCAGGAACTCAATCCAGGTCTCTCATGTGGGTGGAAAGTACTCAATCATGTGGGCTATCATTGCTGCCTGCCAGGGTCTGCATATTAAGCTGTATCAAGAGCCAGGGCTTGGGATCAGTCCCAGGCACATGGGGAGCTTAACCATTAAGCTAGACACCCACTGTAGAACCTGCATTTCTTTTCCTTTTTTTTTTTTTTTTAAGATTTATTTCATTTATTTGAAAGACAGAGTTACAGAGAGAGGTAGAGATAGAGAGAGAGAGGTCTTCCACCTGCTGGTTTACTCTCCAGATGGCCACAATGGCCTGGAGTTGAGCCGATCCAAAGCCAAGAGCCAGGAGCTTCCTCCGGGTCTCCCACGTAGGTGCAGGGGCCCAAGCACTTGGGCCATCTTCCACTGTTTTCCCAGGCTATAGCAGAGAGCTGGATTGGAAGAGGAGCAGCCGGGTCTAGAACCCATGCCCATATGGGATGCTGGCACTGCAGGCCAGGGCTTTAACTCGCTGTGCCACAGCACCAACCCCAGAACCTGCATTTCAAACAAAATCCTCAGGGACCTGTAAGCACACTAAAATTTGAGAAGTACTAATTTGTCGTTTCCTAATTTATTCTTCAGAAGGTCCCCAGGCAAATGGGCATAAAACTTTCTCTCTCTCTTTTTTTTAAAGTAGAATTATTTATTCCTGTTTTTTCAGGGTTGCTGGGTATGTAGATTTAAGGTGAGTTCAAATTTCTCTAGAAATAATGGTGATTATTGGTGACTCCAAAGAGCCCATCCTGGTGATTTTTTTCTTTTTCAAGACTTATTTTATTTATTTGAAAGGCAGAGTTACAGAGAGAGCAAGAATGAGAGAGAGATAGCTTCCATTTGCTGGTTCACTCCCCAAATGGACACAACTGCAGGAGCTGGGCCAGGCAGAAGACAAAAGCCAGGAACTCTGTCTGGGTCTCCCACATGGATGCAGGGGTCCAAGCACTTGGGCCATCCTCTGCTGCCTTCCCAGGTGCATTAGCAGGGAGCTGGATCGGAAGTGGAGCAGCAGGAACTCGAATTGACGGCCCCACCCTGGTGATTTCTACAAAGGAAGTTCTATTCCGGCATTTTTGTGTCTGGCTTCAGGCCAGACACCAGAGACTACATATTGTGCTATTCCTTTGTATGAAATGTCCAGAGCAGGCAAATCCACAGCTGCAGAAAGTGGATTAGCGCTTGTTAGAATGACTGCTCATGGGGTGGAATTTAGATAGTAGTGATAATTTTTGAGATTGAATACTACAGTGGTGACCGTTGCACAACTTCATGAATATGCTAAAAAGCCCTAAATTGTACAGTTCTAGGGTGAATTGCATGGCATGCAACTATATCTCAATTTTTTGGAAAAGCAGCCTCATAGTTTTCCTCAAGAAGAGAAGATGGATATGAGGTTCACGCCTGTTTATCTAAAGAGCTCATCCTGCAGAGTTTCCCAAAACAAAGGATGTCCCCCTCCAGCCGCCGCCAATGTTGAGACTCTAGTTATATTTATGCTACCGGTCAGATTTATATTTTATAAAGGTCACTGTGGTTTACAGATGGGTGTGGGAGGATCAGGCTGCAGGGGAGGTCCTGGAACTGGAAAGATTGGCTGCCAGACTAGTTACAACTGTCTAGAGGCTTCAGTAAGGAACATCCAGACAAGACTAGGCCCACCCAGGGACGCAACAAAGGACTGACTTGGGAGCTTGACATGAGCCTGTTTCAAGAAGTCTTAAGAATTTCAAGTCTTTTATTCCTTTTTAAGAAACTTCTTTCTGACCAGGAAGTGTCACCGGGCCCTAGAGAGGTGACTAAGGCCAGGATCTTGCTTTCCAGGAGCAGTGCTGGGAAGACCCTGAGCGGTGCTTGGAACTTAACAGAGCTAAGTACTGTGTAGTGAGATGTGCCTTGTGAAAGGTAGACACCTTCCTAGCGGCGTCATCCTGACCTCTGGCAGGATGCCCACCTAGTCTGTGGTTGGAGGCCGCCTGCGTGCTGAGGGTGGAGGAGAGCGTGTTAGCAGCGGCAACAGCGCGAAGGAAGGCAGAGACCATGGAGAGCTAGCGCCGAGTGTGCATTCGGGGAGGAGTGAGGGCGCCCTGGCTGCCACACAGATTTGGGGAAGAGAGTAAGCACGGGGGTAAAGCAAGAAAAACACGGCCCTGGCAAATTGTTTTTTTCCAAACGGAAATACTGGAGGCACAGCGTGCGAGGGACAAGAGACGACAGAAATTGCTGTGGTTCAGATTGGCACCAATTTCCTTGATGTGGTAAATAAGCCATTTTTCGGCTTGGAGGCGAAGTGATTTTTGAAACAATGTTTTTAGGAAGGCTGGCTCCGGTGAGCGCTGCAGCGAAGACCAGGAAGGGGCAGGAAGGCGCCTGCCGACACGGACACGGAGTGGCACTGCCAAAACTGAGACGAAAGGGAAGGGTGACCGAAGCGCTCTTCCCCCATGTCAGCCGCCATCACCCAGCCCTGCGGCATCTGCCTCATCACCAGAAGTTTGTATCATTAATAAAACATCAGAATGCACCCAGCTGAAAGCCCTGGCCTCAAAACACCCAGCACGTGTTTATTAGAATGGATTAATGCAATTTTTAAAAGCGCACAGAGGGCCCCCCACGCCTGTTGTGTGAAGGAACGTCGTCGGCTCGGGCTTTGCTTTAGGACACGGTGCACAACTGGTACCCAGACACCTACAGCGTCTACCAGCGCGGACCGCCACACCACCCGGCGCGGGCAGCGGAGCTCTCGCTCAGAGCACTTAGACGCCCGGCCCCTCTGCGGATCCCTTAGGTCAGTAGATCCAGCGGGGGTGGGGTGGGGTCACCGTCCACGCAGCCAATCAGGGCGCGGCGGCGCGGTCACAGCGCTCCACCTCCGCCGTCCAGCCAGGGTGCCCGCGCACCTGCGTGTCCCTCCGCGCTTTGGCTGGTGCAACCGCTCCTCCCCGGCGCTGGATGGGGGGGGGAAGGGGCGTGGCCTCATCTCTCGCGAGACCGCCTCCTGTGGCCGCCGCCGCCGCTCCTGGCCGCTGACTGGCCGCGCCTGCGCAGCCGCCATGTTCGGTTGCTATGCTGCGGCCTAGGAGACGGGGTGTGCTTGAGGGAGGAGGAGGAGACGGAGGAGGAGGAGGAGGAGGAGGAAGAGGTGGAGAAGGAGGGGGTTGACTGAGCGCCTCCTGCACTCTCACACACAAACGCTGCTCAGGATTACCCGCCTGCTCGCGCCGCGCTGCGCGCTTTTCCGCTCCTCGCGGCTCCCCCACATTGTTCTCCCGGGACTCCTGGGTCTGCAGGGGCTGAAATCGGGCCTGAGCCCGGGAGGAAAGAGACTTGGCTTTGGCCGAAAGGGTCGGCGGTTTGGGGCCAGGCCCCCCGCTCCGGGCTCCCCTCCCCCCGGCACTTTTGGGGGTGTGTGGATTATCTCATCCCCGCAGGGAGGTGGGAGAGGACGCCGGCTGCCCGCCTCCCGGCCGCCTCCCCGGCGGCGCCGGCCCGCGGCAGCCCCGCAGTATGAGGTGGTGCTGGCGGCTCGGGGCCGTGGCGCGGCCGCTGCGGCGGCGGCTGCTCGGGGGGCGCTGAGGGAGCCCCCCGGAGCGGCGCGGCGGACGCGCTTCCCTGGGGCGCGCCCGGGCCTCGGGGCTTTTCTCCTGCAGCCGAGAGGACGCGGCTGGGATACGAAGGTAAGAGGCTCCCGGGTCCCCTCCGGCCTCCCGGCCCTGCGCGCTGCACGCCAGGCTGTTACCTGGGGCGAGTGTGGCTCGTGGGAGGCGAGCCAGGTAGGGCAGGCTGAGGCACCAGGTTGGTTTAAAAGGGAGCGGGGGAGAAAATGACGCTTTCCCCCTTCCTGGGACCTCTGCTCTTGCAGCTCCCGCGGCATCGAGTTGGAATCTGTGTAAATGGGTGAGCTCCGGGGGCTAGGGACGGGATGAGGTGGAGATGGAATGTTCTGTACCTAAACTCTAGGTGAGGCTTTAGAATCTTCTGAGTTTTCCATTGCTGGTAGAATTTTTTTTTTTTTTATTGGCTAATGTGAGCGCTTCTTGCAAGCTGCATGAGCAGACCGTGCTTCCCTATATGAAGTTTTAAGCCTCTTAGCGCTTCTGCCAGTATATACCGGTATTCAGGAATCTGTAGGAGGTCCCCTGAAAAAGTTGTGTTGTATGGATGCGTTTCCCAGGGTTTCCTTAAAACGTAACAGTTCACGGTTGCACAGGTATATGTCTGGATGCTTCTGCGAAACTTAGGATGGGAGACTTTCTGTAGGGGCGTGCACCGTGGAGTGACATCAGTGTGTGCAAGGATGATCTGTAGGATTTTTCAAAGCGCTTGCAGCAGAACCTGTCAGGTACCTATCTGTGGTCCACCAGCTGCTTTTCGAATAAGAGACTTTGGTAACACTAAGTTTATGGAACGAGATCTTGGGCCCCGTCGACCCAGTACAACTCATGGGTCACATTTAAAACATGTTTATGCAGAAATCCAAAAAGCCAGTGTATCTGATTTGTGAAAGACGATCTGAGTAGAAAGAAGACAGTAAAAGCCAGGGCATTTTAAAATCCTGGTTTTCTGAACCTTAACGTGATAGTGGAAAAAAATTATTTTTCATCTTTTAAGGGAGGAGGGATGACCTAAAAGCAAGATTATTCCGAGCTCAGAGTGTGCTTGATGGAATACAGTTAGATACAGCAGTTTGAGCTTGAATTTGATTAAATAAATTCAACTTTTTTTTAAAAACTATTGTAAGCCAAATTTGTGCCTTGAACAGAACTTATTTACTAATTCATAAGAAAGAGTGCAATTATTTTGTGACTACCACCATTTTTTTGTCAGAATAAATTTATGCTCCAGTTACCACAAAAGCCATTTTTATATTCTTTGTTAGTTCTGCATTGAAACATGCACGAGATTCCATTATATGATCTTGAATGGTTTTTGAGAGAAACGTCATTTTTGTATGTGGGAATATTTGTGCGTTAGCTAATCTATTTTGAACATTTGGCAAGAGATCTTTAAACACAAGGAGACATCTCTATTGTGCAATGTTTCTTAATATTGAGTAGGTTAAAGTTCATTAAGTTAGCAAATCACAGGTTCTTCAAAAGTAGTAATGGAAGAGGATGTGATTTTTATTACCCGATTTCTAACAGCTTTAGGGCTGTGGGTGTTGAATTGTGTCAAACTTGTATCCCCCCCCCCCCATTCTAATAGAATATAAAAGATCCCTAGTAACATTGTTACTTTAAATTTGTGACACCCAATTTCTAATTTAAGCTAGGCATAAAACCAGCATTGATTGAACACACTTGCTAAAAATACTTTCTAGGTCGGATGTACTTAGAATGCAGCCTCAGGAAAATTCATTTGAACTATTCTGCTGTGACCAATGTACACTTTATTATCACTGAGGGACTTTTAAAAAATTACAAAATCTCACAAATTAGATTTCTTTGGCACAGGCATAGATGGCAAACTTTTTTTGTAGTGTATAAAGTGGGGTAACAAATTATGTGGGATAATAATAAAAACTTTTTTTAAACTTAGTGACTTGTGACTCCACAAACTTAATAACTCTGTGGTATGTATGTCTAAAATACTTTACTTTTGTCTATTAAACATAATTTGAATTGTAAAGTGACAGTACAATGTGCATTGTTATCTGTTTAGTGTTTAGGACTTCCTCTGAACTCCCTAAGGGGAAATCAGTGGTCTTGTTTTTGAATGAATTATCTTTAAGGAACAAAGTAAGAGACCACCAGGTAATTTCAAGGAGATGCTGTTACCGAGAATGCTTTCTTTTCCTCTCTGAAAGTCAGTTAATGTGGTCACTTTTAAACTACGAGAAGACTTCTCCAAAATATGTAGAACTCTTGTTGGTGGGTGTTTAAAGGCAGATGATTAAAAGTTCTCCTTGAATTCCTAATTATTAGAGCAGTGAACTCAGTGCAGCCAAATATGAATTGATTCTCCTCCACAGAATTTAGTTATTGATAGAATTGCATTGCCTACAAACTTGAGCCGAATTTTATTTTTCTGGGTTACTGCATGTTACGAGATTTTTTTTTTAATGTGCTGTTGTCCAGATTTGTTACATCTGCCAGTTTACTAAAGTAAGCTATGAAGCCTTGAAAATGGGTTTAGCTTTCTGGAAATCCTTTTTATTGTTTGCCAGGAAAGTACTGTTGAAGGAAGGTGTTATTTCTTCATCTATATTCAATCAGTACAGATGGTGAGAAGGACTATAATGTGGAAGTACGGTAGAATTCTCTATTGGTGTGGAAGTACAATCTGGGAAAAGCATAATTTATTTCACTTCATTTCATTTGCGTAAGTCAGCATAGTAAAATATAATTGGGATGGGGGAAAAGAGGAGAAATTTATTACATTCTCTTTGGTTTCATTAGCTGCACTTTTCCTCACATTCATTTCATTTCATTGTTCCTAGTAGAAACGCTGGAAGAAAGGTGTGAATATTTGAAGAAATTAGTAAAGGAAACAATGAAAATCAGATACTTTGGACTGTCTTGAGGGGAAGATATTAATGTAGGTGGATTATCATGTTTGGATGTTTTAACCAGGAAGCTATACAGAGTAGTAGAGAGAAAAAAGGATTGAGAAGGGAAGAACATTAGTATTTATTGTCTGTTAAGTGCCAGACAGCCTACAAGGGGCTTTTCATGTTATCCCGTTTAATCATCAAGTATACTTTGTGAGGTAAGTATTATTAATTCTCTGCCTGCCTCCCTTCTCCTTGAAATAGAAGCTAAGGGATATTAAATAACTTGTCCAGGGTCATGTTCCTAGGAAGTGGAATTCAGACGAGCTCTAACTCAAGCTTGTTCTTTGGATCAGTGTTATCCAGTTAAACACTGCCATGATAAAAGTACTTTTTTCCATCCCTTCTTTATTGAGGTATAATTGATAAATGTGATTGAAAGGTTTTTTTTTCTGAACTGTTAGATTGGGTAGCCATTAACCCTGTGTGGTTGTGTAGCACTTGAAATAATTTAAAATTGTGTTTAATTTTAATCGACTTTAAATTGATAGCCAAATGTGGCTGTTAGCTACGCTGTTGAACAACACAGCTTTAGATTTTACTTCCTAGAAAATCTGAGGTCGAGTATTTAATCTTCTATTTGTTTATATATTTGACATTAAGCAAGTTATTTACTTCTTGAGCCTCTGTTTAATCCTTTTGTGAAAATGAAGGGGTTGCCACTAAAACATTATCTGGACCGTCCCTTCTTGCTCTTAAGTGCTGTGTTCTTATTTAAATGTACAGTGGCATCTAGTAGTCACAGCCCTTATATCTGATAGAGCCTCCTCTTCCCAGCATGCTCACCCCTTATGTAAGAACTGCTGTTTAGGCAGTTTCTCTATTTGAGGCATATGTGTGAAGCACACACAAAGGTTGGAGGATAACCGCTCCCCTACCTCACCCCCACCCCCCAGCCCTTACAATAGTTTGGTGAAAATGTTTGTGATCCAAGGCAGTACATTATGTTGAAACGGTATTTGAATCTTTAAAGGCCTCATTTCTGCATGCCACCTTCTACTTTAAGAATACATAGCAGTTCCCTAACACTTATCAAATCGATTCCAAACTGAACCGTTTGGCCTTGAAGACTTTCTACCAATTTCATTTTATCACCCTTGTTTCTCATTCTTGCTTAAAAATAAAACATGGTTTTTTCCTCTGCTCTTGTTTCTTATGCATACCTAACTCTCAAGTCTATGTGCCTCCTCTTTAACTCTTCCTCAGAAGTCATGTTTTTCTGAAAGAATATTGCTTAATCCAATCACAACCGATCAAGCTTTGAATCCTGTAATAAATGCCCTAGGGTTAACATATGCTTATTTGGATATGGTTTAGTACATCCTATTTATGTGTTTCTTCTCTTTATTTTACCTACCAAAGCCATCATCTGTTTCATTTTACTTAATTAGCTTAGTGTGTTGTTCAGCAATACTGCTTTAAAAACTTGCTAATTTTTAAAAAATAATAGATACTATAACAACATTTACCATTAATTACCACTTGAATAGATATTTTTGTTTCCTTGCAGGCAGTTGTTCATATTTTAAACATAAACACACACACACATACACACACACACTCTTGAGCCTGTTGGCTTTGAATTGTGAGGATTCCGATGATACATATAAAGCTTCTAGCTTTGTGTTTTAAATGGAAGAGTTGATTGATAAGTGGTAGATGAAGGTGCTTCTCCTGGTCTCCCATGAGGTGCAGGGCCCAAGCGCTTGGGCCATCCTCCACTGCACTCCTGGGCCATAGCAGAGAGCTGGCCTGGAAGAGGGGCAACTGGGGCAGAATCCGGTGCCCTGACCGGGACTAGAACCTGGTGTGCCGGCGCCGCTAGGCGGAAGATAAACCTGTTGAGCCGTGGCGCTGACTTATTTACCTGTTGTTAAACTTTGTTGGTGATGGTGGTTTATTTTTACTCTAAAACCAAAGGACTAGGATAATGCTCCAGAGTTATGAAAATTTCTGTGTCAAATCTGACTTTTACAAAAGTATCTACAGTAGATGTTCTTGTTTTGGAAAACCTGATGATATAATTATATGATTTAATATATATATTTTTTTAATTTTATTTATTTTTTTGACAGGCAGAGTGGATAGTGAGAGAGAGAGACAGAGAGAAAGGTCTTCCTTTGCCGT